TTTTGATAAGTGTAGAGTTAAACAAACATCTATGACATGCCATACTACTCAGTAATGAAAAGAAGCAGACTATTGATTAAGGATATAAATCTCATGAATCTCCAAATAATTATGCTAGTGGTAGGAGGCAGTCTAAAATGGTTACAATCTCTGTTCCCATTTATCTAGTGTTCTTGAAATGACAAGGAACATGGGCACCAGACATATGAGAGATAGGAGATAATTGTAAATATGAAAGGGATAGAATTGTTCTATGGCTTGCCTGGAGTGATCACAGAAAGCTACACATGGTAGCAGTATGCAGAACTACACATACACACAGAGAGAGAGAGACACACATGCACACACAAAGTGCATGCTAAAGTGGTAAAATATTGAGGCTGGAAGATGGCTTAGCAGTTAAGAGTGCTTGTACCTATGTCAGGCAGCTCTAATGCCTATACTCTAGCTCCAAGGCATCCAGTCCCTCTTCTGGCTTAGGCACACATCTACATACATGTGGCAAGCACACATACATAAAAATAAAAACTTCTTAGTTGTGCTGTTTTATTATAATTAATTATGATACAAACATTGGATGAAATCAGATATGGGGTGTTACTTCTTAAAATTGTATGACAACCTAGAACAATACCAGAATTCATAATCAAAAGAGAAAGTATAAAATATATAATATCAGCCAGTAGCAGAAGTGGAAAACAAATCTTACATTTTTCCTATGGAAAGTCAAGGAAGAGAACAAGTAATGCCACAACAGCCAACAGTAGAGCCCAGATTTAGTGGAACAAGCCTTTAATCTCAGTACTCTGGAGGCAGAGGCAGGTGGATCTTCAGTACAGCCAGGACTATTACACAGAGAAACAAAAATAAAATAAAATAAAATAAAAAACAGTCCATATCAGAATATGATTATCTCCTTCCCTATTGAAACTTAACTTTGAGGGGATTTTGTTCATCAACTTAAACATTACTATTTTTAATAAAATAAACTATATGTCCACATGTCTCACTAAAACCACACCTTCCTCTCAGGCTACAATTTCATAGAACAGGTGTTGTCCTCTTATCATCTTCTGAAGGTCCAACACAAAATGTGAGCCATTAAGAACAAGAAAGTGGAATGAATTTATAAATGGAATGAGTATACTTCTTAATTTTTTTCAATATATTTTTATTGTTGTTGTTTGAGACAGGTTCTATGAGTTCCTGGATGTTCTGAAACTCTATGTATACAAGCTGGCCTCCATCACTGAAGTCTGCCTGCCTCTGTCTCCCCCAAAGTGCAAAGATTAAAGGTGTGTGCCGCCACACCCACCTAACTATTTTTATATTATGTATATAGCTGTTTTGCCTACGTGTTTGTCTATGGACCACATGCATGTCTGGTGCTCACAGATGTCAGAGGGTGATGGACTGGGAGTTACAGAAGGCAGTGAGCCACCATCTGCAGGCTGAAAATCAAACATGGTTCCTCTAAAATGGCAGCCATTGCTCTTAACCACTGATCTCACTCCAGCCCCTCTGTATACAGTTAAAGTTACTAGCCAGTTACAATTTTAAGGCACTATGTTTACATCCTCTTACAGGTTTCTAATGGCCATGAGTGTCTAAAACTCAGGTAACTACTTTTCTTTTGTAAGTGGAAATTAATGTAACATTTATAAAACTGCTTTTGAATTTATGTACTTCCACTCATTAAGTCAGGATGAATTAAAAATTCAGCATATCTTGTTTCGGTTTTTTGAGACAAAGTTTCTCTGTGTAGGCGTGGCTTTCCTGAAACTTGCTCTGTAGACCAGGCTGGCTTTGAATTTAGAGATCTGCTTCAAACATGGAAATTACCCAGCCTCTGCTTCCCTAGTGCTGGGGTTAAAATCACAACTAAGCATATATTGATTGAAGCTATGCAGAATATGCAGACCTTTGAGAAAATGTTCTAAAGTGATATAACAAGACTCGGCCACAGCCTTAATGTGAAGTGCACTAAAATGTATATATACATTCATTAAAATCTCATTATTTTTAAAACAGACACCAAAATGGGGTGTTTATGGATCACCCTACAACCATACAGTCATTTAATTTATGTATGTGAAAACTAAGAAAAGCAAGATTCAGCTATGAAGGTAGAATTAGAGCTTCTCCAGAGTGCAGATTCAGGTCTCTTGCTACCTAAATAGGCAAGATTTTGTTCTTTCTCCACCTATCACATCCCTACCCAATAGTTTTAATATTTTTAAAAGAACCCACAAAGATAAAAATCACTCCAACTTTTGAATTATACCCTTCTGTGTTTTGTATTGTTACTTATGTCAAGGTACTTTATCCCAGTTTGCAAGTATACTGACAATATAACGCTAGTTCCTCCATGGAAATGGTGGAGAGTGTAAATTCAAATAGGAGTCTAACATGTTTGGACTTATATAGATTTGGCTGAAAAGAGGAGCAATTTAAAAGAAAGACCTTTGCTTGCAAATTTCATGATTTCGTTGTTTTTAATATCTTAGTAGTATTCTATTATGTAAATGTGCCACAATTTCTGTATCCATTCCTCCTCTGAGGGACATCTAGGTTGTTTCCAGATTCTGACTATTACAAACAAAGATGTTATGAATACAGCTGAACAAATGTCCTTGTTGAATGGTGAGGAATCTTTTGGGTATACACCCAGGAGTGGTAGAGCTGGAACTTAAGGTAGTGCTAGTCCCAATTTTCTAAGAAAGTGCCAGATTGATTTTCAAAGTGGTTGTACAAGTTTGCACTCCCACCAGCAATGGAGGAGGTTTCCCCTCTCTCCACATCCTCTCCAGTATGTGTTGCCACTGGAGCTTTTGATCTTAGCCATTCTGATCATCGTAAGATGGAATGAGATCATCCTGAGTGAGGTAACCCAGACCCAGAAAGACAAGCACGGTATATACTCACTTATAAGCAGGTATTAGCACTATGATATAGGATAGCCATACTAAAATCTACAGATCTAAATAGGCTAAACACTAAGGAGGACCCTAGGGAGAATGCTTAAGTCTCATTCAGAATGGCAAACAAGATAAACACCAGAAGTGGTGGAAGAGAAGAAACAGGGTGGGAGTCTCCTATAGAGGGTCCTCTGAAAGGATTCACCCAACAGGGTATCAAAGCAGATGCTGAGACTTGCAGACAAACTTTGGGCAGAATGCAGGGAATCTTATGGAAGAAGAGGGGGATAGGACATGGAGGGGACAGGAGCCCCACAAGGTGAACAACAAAGCTAAAAAATCTGAGCCCAGGGGGTCCTGCAGAGACTGATGCACCAACCAAGGACTATGCATGAAGAGGACCTAGACCCCCTGTTCAGATGTAGCAAGTGGAAGCTCAGTCTCCAAGTGGGTTCCCTAATAAGAGGCGCAGGGGCTGCCTCTGTCATGAACTCGATTGCCTGCTCTTCGATCACTTGCCCCTGGCTGACCACTTGCCCCTGGCTGACCACTTGCCCCTGGCGAAACGGCCTTGCCAGCCCACAGGGAAGAGGATCCAGACAGTCCTGATGAGACTTGATAAGCTATGGGCAGATGGCAGAGAAGAACTCCCCCTTTCAATAGACTAGGGTAAGGGGATGGGGATAAGAAGGAGGGAGGGAGGGGCTGGGAGGAGTTGAGGGAGGGGCTTCAATGAGGGAGGGACCTATAATGAATCAATTGTAAAAATAAATAAATAATCAAATAAATAAAACATAAGAATAAAAAGAGAGAAGAGGCCTTACATTTTAAATTTTGCTTGACATGCTCTATAGCAGCACTGTAACTAATCGGCACTTGCTGATTTATACATCAAGAACATTTGGAAGCCTTGTTTGTTGGAAGTGAAAAAAGAACAACTAAAGTTACAAGTAAGCTCAGGAAATGGCTTTTTTGGGTTAAATAACCGTAGCAACATGTTATAAGCATGAATTTAGAGGTCCAACAAACAAAACAGAAAAAAAGTACCTCTGATATGCTTGAATCCAACTGCATGACAGCTGGGCATATTTTCACAGAAGAGGAAACGGAGCGGTTGATTAAACCATTACCAGTAAGGCACACTGCTTACTTCTTCAACAAGGTTCATTTCCCCTTAATCCGATCCTTACCGTCCTTTCTCTTGAGTGAGGATTGACTTTTTTTTTTTAAGATGAAAAGTACAAAGAAGGAAATTAATTTCAAGAGAATGGTAAAAAAAAAAAAATGTCTTCAAAGAAGATGCTGGAGTGAAAAGAAATGACGTCTGATTTCAAATATGTAACCGGTTAAGCAATGAATCACATTCTCCTAAGTTTTTTTTTTCTTTTTTTTTCTATAGACATTAGCCACAGTTCTTTTCGGTACTGGTACTCGAATGAGAGGAAGAGGAAGTGAATAAACCTTATATTAAATATATAGCATCTACTGATCGCGGGGATGAGGACCGGAAGAACACATGGTACATGCTTCAGCTAGGATCCAGCTGTTTGTTAACATACCTAAAGGTATGGATGCTGAGAGGGTATCTATCGAAAGCAAAGGCACCTTCCTCAAATTTCAGAAGGGCAGATGGTTCTAGAGCCAGAGACACCAGCCCACACACACCAGTGGGTGCCTGGACCCTGTAACAGAGTGACTGGGAGAGGACAAAATGGAGCTGAAGTCTAGGGGCACCCTAAAGGTCGTTTGGAGGTCTAGCAGGCACTTGGTGTGCTCATATCAACTGAGTCGTGGCAAAGCCAGGTACTCCCGAGAGGAAGAGTTCTCTTGGCTCTCGGGGTACAGGGAAGATCCGGACGAGGTTCTGGAGGATCCGGGAGAGCATCCAAGGAGGAGACAGTGACCGTAGTTATTTCCGCGAATCTGAGGAGCTCCATGAGCCAGAAGCCCCGGCCGGGAAGCCTAGCGCCCCTCTGACCCCTAGCCGGCTCAGGTAAGGATATACCAGGGATCAGGGGCCCCTCCTGGGCACGGGCACAGCGGGCACAGTGGCCGCAGCCTCCCCAACCTAGGATCACTCACCGAAGGTGCTGCCTCGCCCACCACGTTTCCGCCACTGGGTCTGGCCTTCTGGGGAAGGAAGCTCACGGAGAGGAGTCCGCGTGCCCGCTAGCTCTGGAGCTGCCTTGCAAGGAGGGGCCCCGCGGAGGCCAGCAGGAAAAAAAAAAAAAGCGCTGCAGCGGCGCGCGCACAACCCGGACGGCCAACGGAGGCGGGGCCCAGCGCAAGCCCGGAAAAGACAGCCCTGAGGGGCGGGCGGAGGGGGGAGCGCGGTGGTGTGGCTGAGCCCGCCGAATCGCAGGCGACCGCCGGCTCGGCCCACCCACGCGCCCGCCCCCGCTTGCTAAGGACGTCATCACCAAAGAGGCGGAGGCTGGCGGAGATGTAGACAGCTGCAGAGGAGGAGAGCTGCGACGGAGGGGTCGCAGGTCGCTAAATGCTCTCCAGAGCGCAGAGACCGGAGCCGGGAGTCCCATAATGCTGGCCAAAAGCGCCTGCGAAAGCTTGGCGCCTGATGGCGGAGAGGTGCAGAACCAGCCCACACTCTAGCGGGCTTCACAGTACTCCACCCAAGATGAAAGTTCCCCCGAGGTCATCTTCCAACTGCCCTTAGTAGATATCTATCTTTGGACTGCCTTGTGCTTCCTATAGGACAGACCTTAACCGTTTGCTGGATTCTAGCTCCTGAAAGACCGAGCCAAAGCCACTCATCCTTTTATCCTGCCTTGAGCTGTGTTAAGATCCCTGCTCCCTCAGGCTCATGAAATGTCTCCTGAAGGCAAGGTTTGCATGTCACTCAGTCTAGGCAAGAATCCACAACTGATAAGAAGTCAAGGCCATTCCGTGAGATTCTATTGCTTCCAAGCCTGTTCTTGATAAAAAGGTTTCTTTCTTCCCAAAGACTTAAGAAATTATTGTTCTAAATAAATTCCTGAGGCTATCTTGGGGCTTCAAGACAGACTGTAATTGCGAATAAGCCACACATATTGCCAAGAATATATTACCAAAAGGAATAAATGTCAACTATTATTCCAGTTCTGTGATGCGTAAGGGTGGACTGGCTGCTTTTTTCTGCTTATTATGGGTGTTTTTACTTGCTATTTTTAATTTTCCTTGTAAAATGACTGTATGTGATGTACACAACTACAGACAAACACAAGAAAATTGCTCACCTCAGACTGCGGGCTACAGTAGTTCTTAAGCCTTAGTGTGCATTATAGTCATCTGAGATGTTTGTTCAAATAAGAGTACCTAGAGAAATAATCCCCAGATGTTTTGATCTGGATCTCAATTAGGTGAAATTTTTGCATTTTAGATTTTTAAGAAGCATCCCAAAGGACACTGGTAGTATGCTTGGCTGGGAGTAGAGATTCCCAGCTTGTTTGAATATTATTATGCTAAAGCTGTAGTACTCATTTTATTCCCAACAGATCCACCATCTTGTATATAATGTGCATATAAAACATTGTTTAAGCACTCATGTACTTTTCCTTTCTCAAGATTGACCTAGAAAGCTCAGGACTTCAAACAACAAATTTAATTGTCATCTTTATTTTTATGAGATCTTGTGGTAATACCAGAAACAGATAATTATTAGTTGGCTATATATTCCATAGGTACCTATAGTGTACAGACACCTGTCATTGGTTCTAGGGCTAAGACAAAAGAAATTGGAGGAACAAATATCCACTCTTTCAACAAACTTAGAGTTTAGTTAAGGAATTAAAATACATGTTGTACATATAAACCAACCTGTTGGACCAAACGGTAAAAGAACTTATAATTAATGAATATTTTTTCTAGTTTTCTTCATCATCAATCACGTACCACAGACATTTTTAATTAACTCTTCTGAACTCAGTCCTCAGCTTACAGAAGTTCTTCCAGCTTTACAAGGTGTAAATAAAGAAGAGACACTATCAGGTTTTGTTTATATATACATATACATATGTGTGCATAACATAATCAGACCAAGAAGCTACTTGTATTTAAAAAAAAAATGTTTTTGGTTTTTTGAGACAGGGTTTTTTTATGTAGCCTTGGCTGTCCTGGACTCTCTCTGTAGACCAGGCTGGCCTCAAACTCACAGAGATCCCCTTGCTTCTGCCTCTCTGACTGCTGGGATTAAAATCATATGCTACCTTGCCATAAAACTCATCCTTATGAGAGATGTCATTTGTACTTTACAACAGCTTAAGAGACTTCTGTATTATCTTAGGGCCAGGCCAATGATGACTCCCATAGGCATTATGCTTACTTCATTCATTCTTCCTAAGCACTTATCTCGAGCATCGTTTTTTTGTTTTGTTTTGTTTTGTTTTTTCTTTTTGGTTTTTCGAGAGATGGCATCTCTGTGTAGCTTTGGCTCTTCTGGACTCAATTTGTAGAGCAGACTGGCCTTGAATTCACAGTTATCTGCCTGTCTCTGCCTCCCTGAGTGTTGGGATTAAAGCCATGCCTGGTCTTGAGCATTGTTCTAAGTCAATAAAACCATCTTTTTTTTTTCAATAGTAAAACCAGGAGCCAGGAGTAGTGGCACAGGCCTGTGATGCCAGATCTGTAGACTGAGGCAAATCGAAGTTTGAGGCTAGCCTGAGCTACAAATATATGTCTGTCTCGAGATCATATCATATCTAGTAACAATGACAGGAAGGAAGGAAAGAGTAGAAGGAGGGAGCAAAGGAGTGAAGGAAAACAGGGAAGCAAGAAAAGATCTCTAAGACCTATGACCCTAAAGGAAAACGTTCACCCCTCCCCCAAGCTGCTGTCTGACATTTTAGAGCAGTTACAACATTTTTATGCCTTGCAGGGATGGAAGATTACTATCTGTGAAAGATGAAAAAACAGATGCAAATGAAACAATGTGTTAGGTCACAAAACTAACCAGTAATAGAGCTTGGAATTCCTCCCACTTCCAGGGGTTTGCTGTAAAGTTCACTCAGTAACATCCCACCAAAATCAAATTAGAAACAAAGAAAGAGTTAGGAAAAGATAAGATGCAAGTGTCAAGATTTAAAATACAACATTTAAAAAAGGAATATATATGATAGAAAAACAGAAGAGATACTAAGAAGGGGCCACCAGCAATAGGAAAAAAGAGTGAGGAGAACAGTAGGATAAAGGGACAAATAAGAGCAAAATATGTATGAAAATGTCCAAATGAAACCCAGCACTTTGTATGCTAATGTTAGAAATTCCTTTAAAAGCTTTTTAAAGGGAAATAAAGTGTCTGGAAGTTTTTGAACAAGGGTGTTCTGTTCAAAGACACTGTTATTTAGCCCTTGCTTGTTTTGCCCTTGTGTAATAAGAAGCTGAAATAGATAGCGAGACTGCTCTTGGCATTATTTATTTATGGAAAGACAGAAAACAACTGTTCTTCAATGACTGTGTACCAAGTCTTTGCATCTTAATCTTAATTCTTGGGTTACAAGGATAATAATTTCCTTCTGCAGAAGCAGCAAGACTTTGTAATAATATTTGAACATACAAATTATGTCATTAACAAGCTTTATTTTACAGACCTGCTAAACAGGCAAAATATTTTCTTTAGTGGTGCCTATGAAGCAAATAGTGAAACCAGAAACCTCACAAAATGATCTCACTCTGAGCAAAATAATAAACTAAGTGACTTTTCAAAACTGGTCAAAGACAGGGCTAGACTTGGAGTTCAGTGACACTCTGCTTGCCTAGTAGGTGTAAGCCACTGGGTTTGATTACCTTTATCAAATAAAAACACAAAAGTGGTCAAAGGTATACTAGTTAGATATAAATGCTGTTTTGAACATTCCTTTATCTTTTCTAATAATCATTTATTTCTATTCCAATATCAGTTTTTAGACTCATTGAAAGACCCAAGCAAATGGAAAGCCATCTAATGCCCTAAAACAGGAATCTTAATGCTGTTGATTTGTATAATGACTCTGGTCTTCCAAAGGTTAATCTATAAAGGCACTAGGTCTTTAAAAATATAATATTTTAATTAATTTCTGGAGCATTTAAAACACATAGAGAATTTGATCATATTCTCCCACACATACAGAGTCTTTTCCATAACTCCTCCCAGATCTACCCCTCCACTCTCTATCCCTCTCCCAACATCATGTCTTCTTTGTTTTTATGACCCACTGATTCTGATATGTGCCACCCATATACTCAAGGGGTGGGACCACACTTTGGACCTTGGTCAATTTATTAGAGGCCACAGCCTTAAAAACAACTCCTTTCCCCAGAATCTATCAATTGTCAATATCACACCTGACCCCAACTCTAAGGCCAGGTTGACTAGTTGGATCTTGTACAGGTACCTGCAGCTGTTGGCACCAGAATTTTAAGTAAATTTCATTTTAGTTTCTGGTTTGAAACTTCTTTAATGTCCATTTTAAAACTAACTCCAAAGTCCCCTAAATAAATCTTGGCAGTGATCTTTTTAAATTACTTTAGCAACCTATGCAAGAAGAAAAAACAAAAACAAACAAACAAAAAACTCTATTATTCATAAAGCCAGGGAGGGGTGGGAGAAAGGGAGAGAGAAAAGGATGCTGGAAGAAAGTTATCTTTATGCTTCTCATCTGGTCTTCTTAGATAAAAAGATCACCAATCTTATAACTCACTCAAATCCATTATCCTTTTCCTCTAACATACAAGAAGATCCCAATAAGTCACATTCTTAAATGGCCAGTAAAATGATATTTTAAAGTATGTTTTACTCAGAATCACCCACTATTATAGCTGGGAGATCAATGAAAGAGGCGAGGTAGTAGGAGGGAAAACCATCCTGGTTTTGGACTTGGGCCAACCATCCTACACCATGAACCTGGTCATGCAACCTATTTCTCAATCTCCACTTCTTCACCTACAAAGTGGAGATAATAATATACCTCACTCATAAAACTCTTCAGAAAGAAGACTCAACAAAAATGTACTCAGCTGCTTGTAGTATTTGTGTAGAAATGTTGGCTATGGATTACTGTTATGATTTTAATATGAAACGCAGGGCCAAGTGTTGAACTATGTCCCTTGCTGGTGCCATCCATTATTTAGGGAAGCAGCAGGAGCATTAGAACGCAAGACCTAACTAGCAGAAGTAGATTACAGAGGGGCTTCCCATTGGCCGTAATTGCTCTTTGGTCTTTTCCTTTCGTTCTCTGATTTCTGCCTGCTGTGAGGTAAATAGCCTCT